CATGAAATCGGGTGAGGCTATTCTTATTGGACATTCTCTCTAGTCGCTTTATTAAGCTTTGGGCTTCAAGGATTTTGTAAACATTGTTTCTATTCTTTTGGCCTAAAATGGAAATAGTAAGTACTCGTTAATTTAGACCTTTTAAAGCTATGGGCACTATAGAAGTAAAATTTATATGTTTCTGCTGAATGAATCTATCTTTTCCAATTTGTTCCCCAGAAAACAACCATGAAATTCCGAACTTAAAAAGTGGGCTTAATTTGTATTAGTCGTATTATATAAGCAGATCAGCATGTCCAAAATATATCTACTCAGTGAATGTCTATCAAGTCCATGCACAACATCTTTCATTTGGATCCTTTAGAGCATGTTCATTTGTCTTTTAGTTTAAGATGGTTAGGTAAGACACTCAGATATCACTCATGGTTGAGTCCAATGCCTGACACCCATAGTCGAGTCCAAGAAAATGCAGAATGTAGAATTTCCACATCAATGTACTTTTTGGTTATGCTTGATGTTTGCTTTAACCTTAACAGTAAGTCAAAATAATCATTTTTAATTTGTTATTTTACTATGCATAACTTTCCTCCCACTTTTGGTACTTATATTTGTTTCTTACAATGCTTATTATTCAGTGTTCAAACCCTACGTGCCGGGTAGCATATCATCCACTCTGTGCACGTGCTGCTGGTCTCTGTGTTGAGGTAGTATCAATCTATTATGAAATTAGTTTATAGGGAATTCTTTGCAGTTATATTTTTCCATTGTTTTGAGAATTGTAATTCTTCTGTTTGTAACTGATGGATAACGTGAATCATATGCTTCCAATTTGTCTTGCTATTATTGTTCCTTAGCTTGAGGATGAGGAGAGACTGTTTCTCCTCTCAGTAGATGAAGATGATGAAGATCAATGTATTCGTCTACTTTCCTTTTGCAAGAAGCATAGGCAACCATCTAATGATCCAATAGAAGCATCCGATGAACGAGTTGGTAGAATAGTATGTCAATGCTCGGATTACACTCCACCTCTTAATCCATCTGGTTGTGCTCGGATCGGTATGCTATTGCTTGTTGCTTTATTTTCATTGTTTGTACATTTGGTATTCTTGTTACCTTGTTCCTTTCTATCTGTTGGGATTTATTTTTTTAAATTTTGGTGGATATTTCTACCTCAATCAATCTAATAATTGATTTTAAGTAATGCTTTTGATGTTTATAGTTATATTATTTCAAATCGTGTACATCTAAATTTGGCTCTTGGCTTGTTTATATGATAGCTCTATGGGTGGCTATTTATCTTTCTTCTAGGCGCTTGGCACTGTGTCTTAGATCTACAGAAAAAGGAAGTGTTATTATCGGCTAAGCTAGCTAGTAGTTTTTAGATTGCTTATAGACGTGAGTAAATTGCCTTTATTTTATCTTTCTTTTGTTTCATGTATGAGTGAGATGTTTTTAGCTTATTCATAATCCTATTCCTATCAATGTTGAATCCCGCTCTTGATTGCATAATCCCTTGCATATAGGAATTTTACTCCTATGAAGTTACTATCCTTCTCTCAAATGGCTAAAAGGAATGGTAAATTGCATACTATAAAAGTTTATCCTATCCATCCTATCTAGAGAAGCATTTTTGGCTTCAGTGTATTGTTATGTTTTACTGTTAGACCAAACCTGGATACTATAAGCCAATTTTTGTTTGGTGCAGAGCCTTACAGCCATTTTGGAAGAAGAGGCCGAAAAGAACCTGAAGTCCTTGCTGCTGCATCCCTAAAGCGCTTGTTTGTAGAGAATCAACCCTACTTGGTTGGTGGCTTCTGCCAACATGAAATGTCAGGCACCAAAGTGCCTAACAATAGAGTCAATGGTATCAAATTCTCTTTTAGTCTTAACAAGCTTAAAGCCCCCCAGCTTGATGCTCCTAACAACATCCTCTCTATGGCTGAGAAGTATGATTACATGAGGCAAACCATTCGAAAAAGATTGGCATTTGGTAAGTGACTACTATTTTTCTTTTCATTTTTGTGTGTGCATGTCTGGGGGGGATGGGTCTAAGACTTCCTCAGTATTAAAGAAGCAGGTGTGGTCAAACTTTGTTATTATTCAATGTGTTCTGACAAATTGCTAAGTAAAAAGGCTTGGTAGGGGATAGAGGTTGTCCCATTGAATTGAAATCGAATAACAACCCTTTTTTTGGTACAAAGAAGGCTGCAACTTGTGAGTAAAATAAGGGATTGTAGATACTATTCAAATCCCAAACCTATGGCTAGTAGTTTTCCCCTTTAAAGAATCACCTGGAAGTTTAAAATAGTCACTTGTTCCTTTTTTGTTGTTTTGCATTCATTTTTGTCCTAGTTTTTCTTTGAAAATTGGAATTGCATTTGGCTCCAGGGAAATCAGGAATTCACGGGTTTGGAATCTTTGCAAAGCATCCACATAGGGCAGGAGACATGGTAAATTAATGTGCTTTAATACATTGTAGGATTCTCTGGACTTTTTCTTGAGTGCATGAAATGTAATGTTTATTATCTGTAGGTGATTGAATATACTGGCGAACTTGTTAGACCTTCTATAGCTGATAGGAGGGAACATTTCATTTACAACTCATTAGTGGTATGTTCTCCATTATTTCATACATTTGCATGTTTGGATTATTGTCCTATGAGCAATCTTAGAAAGCTAATTATCAAAGTTTGAAAGATGCTAAGTACTTTATCTCTTAGGGTGCTGGCACATATTTGTTTCGAATTGATAATGAAAGAGTGATTGACGCTACTCGAGCTGGGAGCATAGCACATCTAATCAATCACTCATGTGAAGTAAGTGCTTTTCATCCTTGCTTTTGGTAATTTAGTATGCTTTGTGCCCTTATGTTTCTAATACATAAGATGTTTGTATCAGAAATCTTGCCATAGATTTGTGTTCGTTCCATTTTTTTCACTTGCATGGGTCTTTATGAGTCTGCGAAATGGTACAAGTTGAAAAGTTTCAACCATAACTTTTGTGATTTAATTTGCTTCATACCCTTCTGTCTCAATTTGTCCGGCTACATCTGTTATTTCTGTAGTTCTTTTTAGTTATTATTCTTGTCACGCATGTTTAAATTCATTCCACTTTTACCTTCACATGGTCATTAGGAGTCCATTAAATGGTGTATTTATAAGATGGTAATGAATGAAAGTGTTTTCTTTAGATAGTTAATGAAGCTTGTTGTTTGCATATTGGACATGGAATAAATTTGAGATTATCTGAAGGGAAATAGGGTGAAAGACCGCATGACAGGGGGAGTATAAAAGTTCCTTTGACGTAAGTTATTCTAGTATGATAGGAGTTGTAGTTTCTTGACCAGGCAGAAATACTTCTACTAAAATGCCTTGTAACTCTATCAGTTTATGTTGAACAAAATGCATATAAAAGAAGTTAATAATTTTTCTCTTTTTCCCTTTTTGCAGCCCAATTGCTACTCGAGAGTTATTAGTGTTCATGGGAATGAGCACATTATCATTTTTGCAAAGAGAGATATTAAACGATGGGAGGAGCTGGCATATGATTATAGGTTCTCCTCTAGTCCTATGCATAATTTTTTCATTAATTATCTTCGACACTGACATTTTGTTTGTCTTGTAGGTTCTTTTCCATTGATGAGCGTTTGGCATGCTATTGTGGTTTTCCAAGATGCCGGGGTGTTGTTAATGATACCGAAGCTGAGGAACAAGTCTCAAAGATATTAGTAAACCGGAGTGAATTAATACAATGGACAGGAGAATGAGAGGTAAAACCCATAGATCTGTTATGCACTTAAATTTCTCTTTAGATTATTGTATTTTGAACTAAGAAGTATGCGTGAGAAGTTGGAAACTAAAAATCAATTATTTTTATGCAATAGTTTGTGAAAGCATGGCAGCTATACTGATGAAACAAGAACTCAATCCATTTGAATCCTTCATTAAATCATATGCAAGTACAACATCTATTATTCATGACATGAAAACAAATTTAATGAGCAATACAGGCTGATATGTAATGAATTTACTTTTTTTTTAATTCTCAATTGTAATTTTAAAGTAATACAGTTAATCCCCAGTTCTCTCAATCTCATTGAAATATAAATTGATTTAACTTGGTGTTTCTATTCTTTGAGTATTGTCCATGTTTTGTTGTATTCGGGTTTGGTTTGCTAGTGAACTTGTTACAACCGTTTTATTCCGGAATAATTCACTTTAAACATCAATTATTCAGATGTTTTATTGATTATTCAAAAGCTATGTTGATTCGATTTTTCAGTTTTCTTGAAGTACTCATATCCAACATATATTTCGTCGTGTATAGATCTGATTCTCGAAGTGCTCCATCTTCCGCCCTTTGGCTTAGTCCCTGATTTACTTATGTGAGATTCTTATTGTACTCTTTTGGATTGTTGCTTGCTTCAACCAGGTTTCAATGCCAGTGAAATCAACTTCAAACTCATTTGACAATTGCGATGCCAGTTCAAGACCGTCCCTCTGGTTCTCTTCTCCCATTTGCACCTTTGTTTCCCCATTATCTCTTGTTCCAAGTGGCTCTGCATATTATTTATCTTCATCAAGCTTGCTCTTGGATTGGATTAACAATGCGGAAGATGTCTAAATTTTCTGAACCTCCCACTATAAAAGAGGAAGGTAAGATTCTTTGTCTGAGAAATACTTTATCCCTTTTTTGGGTATAACATGGTATTGGTAGGTAAAAAGTACATTAACTAATTGTAAAAAAAACAAGGTAAAATACAATTTGCAGTGAGATTATTAGTAATGAAATGTGAGTTTGAATAATAGTATCTTTATCGGGACTGTAATTTGTATGCCCCAACTAGGTTTTCTTCAATCTTTTGTGTTTTTTTTTGTTTGGCCCATCAATATTTAACAAGAGGAAACGTTACAGACATGACTGTTTTATTGAATATAAAGAAAATTACCAATAAAGATATTAAGTGGTATTCAAGCTATGTTTGATAACCAAAGAAAACCATGAGTGAGAGAGTCAGGAAAGTAGAGACAGATAGAGAGATAGGTCAGTCTTTTTCCGGCGTGAGTTGGACGGTGTTCGTTGATAATCTTAGTAAGAAAGTCTCTAGAAGAGAATTAAGAGATCTGTTTTTAGTCCAGGGTCAGGTGGTTAGAGTTTTCATTCCAAATGAGATGAACAAACTAAAGTATAAATCCTACACGTTTGCCTTCGTTCAGTTTGTTAATGAAGCAGGAATAAGAAAGGCAGTAGAAAATTTAAACCGGTTATGGATTGATGGGAGGAAAGTTTTTGTTGGAGTTGCAAAATATAAGAAAGATCGATCAAGGTTGTAGGGTTATCTAAGTCACTTACTGGTGATTCAAAGAAGATTACAAAAGAAAAATCTAACCCAAGTGAGAGAGTTCAGCTCACGAGAAGCATAAGGGATGATAGGTCATATAAGGATGCTTTGATGATGAACATCCCGCAAAGAAGAGCTTTGATAGAGGTAGAGAATAAAAATGATGCTACAAACATGGGGAAAGGAAAAAAGAATATTTGGGAGATGCATATTCCTTCTGATCATTCATTCTGGGTGAAAAGATCATTAACAGGCATAGTAAAACAAGTGTTTGAATTAGAGATGGTGCATAGTGCTCTGGCTAAAGTAGGTATCGAAGTTCAGATTGCCAATTGGGGTTACATTTGGAAATCTTGTGTTATTATATTCAAGTCAGATGAAGAGATGAAGGAGGCTTGGATGAAAAGAAGTGAATGTTTATGCCTCTGGTTTGATAGATTGACACCTCTGTTGAATGAAGGTGTGCCAATGACTTTTTGTTTGGTGGAGCTCTATGGTGTTCCATTATTATTTTGGCAAGAAGCTTTCCTAGAAAAGCTAGCGAGAAGGTGGGGGACAGTGGAAGGTATTTAGGATTCAACTAAAAACAAGGAGGATCTCACGACAGTGAAAATTCTAGTTAGGGTGGCAAGTCCTTTTGATGTTCCAGAAGTGATTACATTAGGTTCGTATGGAAGATCCAATAAAGTGAAAATCAAGTTGGGTTCGACTTCTATCTATTTTGGTTTTTTCTCAATTTTCTCGCCGAAAAATGTTCCGATGAAGGAGAAACTGCCTCAGAGTCGTCGTAGATGAAAGCAGACAGCCTAGAGTCAACTAACAAGACATGTATTGTTCGATTGGTTGAGGATGCACGCAAGAAAGTTGACAGCTGGTTGGAACAAAGAGCTTATTTCGGTTTTGTTGACATTGGCAGTGGATATCGATCTCCTAGAAGAAGCAGGAATGAGAAAGGCATTAATGAAGAGATGTCAGATTTGCACAATTTTGGGAGTCTTAAAAAGGGAGAGTTTGCAGGTTTGGGTATCAGAAATTTGACTAATTCAAATTGTAATTCTCAGGCCCAAACAGTTGAAATTAGTGAGGCCAATTCTCCAATAAAGAAGATAATCCCTGCGTGTCCAGCAGTTCAAATTTCTGGCCTTGGGTTTTCAAGCCATAATCAGTGTATGCTTCTTCCAAGCAGTTCAAAGGAGGCAGTAAAAAAAGGGATCTATTCCACTAAAAAAATAGTGGATGGTGGTTTAGATAATACAACATTGAAGACCATCATTATGGGATATGTGGAAGGTACTAATTTGTTAAGCTTAGGGGGTGATTTACAAGATCGTTCAGCATATACTTTATCTATAAAGAGTGCTCCTGTGGGAAGAAGGATGATAAAAAGTTATAAGAGACTCTATAAAAGATCTAGGGAGAGAAACATTTGGCTCAGAAGTGTGCATATATTAATTTTAAAACAGAGGGGGTTTCAATCAAGCAGAACGATAGTGCTGTTATTTTAAGATATGCACAATCTGAAATTCCAGAGGACGATTATAATCTAGTAGAGGACTGTGAAGATGTGGGGAACAAGAGTTTTAAAAGGAGATTTAAAAGGCTTTTGATCATGGATGCTATGGAACAGGTGAGTGTTTCCACAATTACATCCACAAAATTTCCTTTGCTGTTAAAGGAAGCTCTTGCAACTTGGGAAATAAGCAAGATGTTGGGTATTTCATTCAAAGAAGGGAAAGAAGCTTTCTTTGATAAAATCAAGAATTTAGAGAAAGGTTTGAGTGGGGTTAGTTGAGTAGGTTGATGAGTTGTGGAAGAGTTTGGTATTAGCTTATTATTATGAGACCAAAGATAGTAATTTTGTCTTGAAATGTCATGGGCTTGGGGAAAAAAGAAAAGCATCGAGCTGTTCAAAAAATGGTCTTTGAGAAGAAACCATATTTCCTTTTTTTCCAAGAAACAAAAGTGGAGGTATGTCCAAGGTCTTTTTTGAGAAGAAGTGGTCTAAACAATCTTTAAGGGTATGTCGAATATCCAGCATAAGGTTCATCAGGGGGTTTATTAAGTTGTTGGGATGATAGTGTTTTTGAGGTAGAAGATCAACAGATTCATAGGATATTTATTGCTATTTTAGGGAAATTCAAATTGAATCAATTTAAGTGTGGGTTTATTAATGTATACGGTCCTTTGGTGGAGGAAGAGAAAACATGTTTTTTAGGAGTTTTGTTTGTTTTTAAATGGTATTAGTATTCCTTTTTGTGTGGGAGGGGATTTTAATGCTTATTTAACAGAAGGGGAGAAGGATGGTAGAGCTCAAAATAGAAATTCGATTGAGATTTTCAGGCAGTTTGTTCATCAATCGGGTTTAATTGATACTCCATTAATTGGGGAAGATTTACTTGGGTAATAATCGGGAAGAACCTACTGTTGTCAGATTAGATACGTTTTTTGCTAAATATTAATTTCTCATCTGCATTATCGGATATCACCCAACATTTACTTCCGAGATCTATTTCTGACCATAATGCAATTTTGCTTCAGAGTGGGAGAGATAATTGGGGTAAGAAACCTTTCAGATTGTACAATTATTTAATGAATGAGGTTGGTTTGATGAGAAGGTTGAAGATGCTATTAAAGAATGTAAGAAAAGTTAGAGAAGAGCTGGTATCCTGAGCATCATTAAAAGCTCCAAATCAGCTATTAAAAATGGTTTGGAATGAGAGATCAATTTCCAGGTGTTGTCATTTCTGCTTTATAAGTGAAGATTCATCAATTAGAGTAGGATTTACAGACACAACAGGTTGTGAAGGGTACAAATAGTGTAGTTGAATTGCGTTCTTTGAGATTTGAATTGTGGAGATTATATAGGATTGATGAGCAAATTTGGATACAAAACTCGAGTGAAATGGATAAAAGATAGTGATCGAAATACAAATTTTTTTCACACTTGTGCCACAATTAGGAAGAGGTTGAATTCATTGAATGCTCTTAAGGTTAAAGATGAAATCGTTTTCGATCTGGTTCACATTAAAGCGAGTGTCCGTGATTATTTTTTGATACTTTTAATTCCCAATCTACTTTGGAAGTGGAAGAAATCAAGTTGAATTTTTCAAGAATCTCTTTAGAGTAGAGCATTAGTTTAGAGAAAAGGTTTACGAAAGAAGTGTGGGAAGCTTTGAATTCATGTGATAGTAATAAAGAGCCAGGGCTGGATGGGCTGAATATGGGATTTTTCAAAAGGTTTTGGTTCATATTGAAAGACGATATTCTGGAATTTTTTCACAACTTTTATTTGGGTAAAAATTGGGAGCATGACATTAATCACACTTTCATAACCCTCATCTCAAAGGGTTCTAATATTGGTCGTTTAGATGATTTCAGACCTATTAGTTTAGTAGGTGGAATGTACAAGATCATTTCAAAATGTCTTTCGAGAATGTTGAGGAGTTGCATGGATGATGTTATTAGTGCTTCGCAATTTGCCTTCGTTCCTGGTCGACAAATCTTGGATTGTTCTTTTATAGCCAATGAAGGAATAAATTTTTGGAGAAAGAAAGGTTTGAAGGGTTACGTGTTTAAGGTTGATTTTAGGAAGGCTTATGATACAGTGGATTGAGATATTCTTTTTAAAGTAATGGATAAAATGGGTTTTGGAGAAAAATGGAACATTTGGATAAGAAGATGTGTGACTACAGCCTTAGTGTCAGTTTTGGTTAATGGTGTGCCTATAGAGGAATTTCCTATGACAAGAGGACTTAGACAAGGTTGCTCTTTTCCCCATTATTGTTTAATTTTATAAGAGGGCTGCTATGATAAGAGCTTTCGAGGGTGCTATCAGATGGGTGGACAGAACAACTAATATAGAAGCTGATACCTTTGCTAAGGCTGGTATTGGGTAGTGTTTGTTTGTTGGGTTTTGATGTTTTTTCTTGAGTGTTAGATGTGTTATTTGGTGTGTTTCGGGTTGTTTTTGTAAGGGGATTGGATGTTTTAATCATTATGTAATCTTTCGGTTATTAATGAAATTTGAGGCACTCTTTTCCTTCTTCTGCTGATTAAGGAATACCGATAGGTGTTCCTTTAATCATGAAGGGGGTTTTTAACGAGGCCTCCACTTCCTATCAAAAAAAAAAAAATTAACAAGAGGAAGTGTTTGGATTTTGAAATCACCATTCATTCTATACTTTGACATGGTTGTTTTTAGGTTCCATATTTGCGAACTTGAATTTAGTAACCCAAAAAACCAATATAAGGGCTGGCTCAAAAAAGGGTCATGTTTTGATTTTAAACTTAAAACTTGAGTTTTTGTCCATGAACACAACTTGTATCATGTTTGCATCTTAAATACGAATAAGCATCTTAAATACGAATAAGGTTTTTTCCCCTTTTCTTCTAAACTTAAGGCCCTGTTAGATTTTCTTAATAATAATATTAAAAAACTATCTTCAAATCTTTCCGTTTTCACAACAATCTTGTAAGTCTCCCTTCAGATCTTTCTATTTTTTAAAACTTTCTCAAACTCTTTACCTCAGTCCCTTTTAACCCCAAAATTTTAACAAACCTAATCAGCAGAGACAAGCAGCTGGTATTGATTTACATTAATAAAGTGAATCAATTTTTCTTTCCCATTGATAAAAAAGATAAAGGGAAAGGTTTAAATATGTAAATTTTTATATTATAATAGAATTTAATCTTTGTACTTTTTTCTAAATTAATCACATTGGTATCTGATCTATTGATCGACTAATCCAGATCAGGTACTGGAGAGACAAAGGCGATCTTCTCAAATCAGATTGCTCTATACATGAATACCAGGATTCGAACCCTTAACAAAACTTAAGGGATCTAGTACCTCATCCTACTAGATCAATTAGATGTTTAATCTATATACTTTAATTTTGTGACAATGAATTTTTATATTATTTTTTATTTGGAAGTCTCAATCTCTCTATTATTGTTTAATTTTATAGTTAATCATTGATTTAACAATAACAA